GGATCGGGGGAGTGCTTCGCGAGATGACATGCCCAGGGTCGATGTTCGATCCGACGGGGCCCGCAATGCCCGAGAGGGGGGCCAGGGTCAACGCTGTGAGGGTGGATTGGTCGCAGTTTTATTGGGATTGGTTTACCAGTATCCCTATTGCGGTTCAGCGGGCTGCTCGCGTCGCCGGGGCCCAGGGCGCGGCGTTGTGTGGGGTGACCTCTTAGTATTTCTGATGGCGGATTATCGAGCTTAGGATGCGCCTGCCTTGGGACATCTGAGGGCTGCGACGCAGGGGAAAGACGCCGAGGCCCACGCCCGCGCAATTGTCAACCTTGTGGTTGTAATTTTTCGCAAGACCAACCACCGCATCCCAACCGCATCCGGAATCCCAACCGTGGCCCACATCCGCACCATCCAGCGTGGAAGTCCTGGAAGATTTGCCCATCGTCCCTGGCGTCGCGGGCCCGCCGTCCGCGCTGGCCCCGGGCGTCGATTGAGTTCCCGATGGGGCACGAGCTCCCCGTTTCGGCGCTGTTCGGCGCGACGCAGTGCGACGGAGATTGCGGGGTTGCCGCAACGCTGACACTGGGCGGCAGGGCACATCATTCCGCCCAACCGTTGGGCGAAACTGTTCGAGGCAGATGCGCGCGGCCTCCTGGAAGCATGGGGGGTGCGAGACTTTTTCCAGTATCTGGGATGCAAACATTTTGTCGCTACTGCGGGATAGATAAGGATGCGGGCGAGGCCCCTCTGGGCCCCATGTTCGAGTGTGATCCGCTGGTAAAGTCAGGTTGCGAAAGTGACGCGCGCTTCGCGACGTGCAAGAGCCTTCGCAACCGCGCGATGAAATCGCATGGCCTTCGAAACACCGTTCGGCTCGCCGTCGTCTAATCAATGCCCCGCGTCTACGTCGGCGTTCGTCTGTGGCCTGTGCGAAGCAACGCCTTCGGCATGCTATGATCCATCATGGGTGCTATGATGGTCGGTCGTCGGTAGAAATTCTAGGCCGCCAGGCCCCTGACCCTTCGTGCCTTTTTTGCGGCAGCCACCCCTTGCAGTCCTTGGCTCCGCTTCGGAGACACATCTGTCAGCACCTTTTGCTGGCGATTGCTCGCGACATCGACCGTCGCCATGGGCCGCCTGGCCGACGCGCCCCCGGCGGCGGCGACGGGGCCCAAGGCCGAGGGGCGTTGGCGCGGAGGCCCAATATACCAAGATACGCAGGGACCGAAGGTGGACAACAACGCCGCCCAGGGCCCGACGGCGAAACGCGCGCTGAACCTGGCGATGAATCAAGTTGCCAGAAAGGCGCGCGATGTTTGAAATATCAAGCCGACGGTGGTGGACGCGTTCAGATGCAAGAAGGCGCCCCCCCTCGCTCTGGCCTTGGAGGCGGCGCGCAAAAAAAAACAATCGATCTGGCTTTGGAGGCGGATCGCGCAACAAATAGTTGGAGCCGCGCAGTTCTACACGATGACAGTTACACCTGCGCCCTGCAATGCGCGCGCCATGGCCCGCGCCCCGACGGGCGCAGACGCTGGCGGGGCCATCGAGAAGGTTTTCGAGCAGGCCGGCCAGAAGACGCAGGCACGCAGGCTCGAGGAGCTGAAGCTGGAGCCCCAGGCGATTGCCATCGAGAAGGCCTTCGGCAGCGACGCGCGCGTGCTGTATTTGGCGATGTGCCTGAGCCCTCGTCGGGCGCTGATCGTCAACCCCGCGACGCAGTTGGTGGCCCTGCGGCCGCGTGCCCCCGCGCCGCCAGAGTACGCGGAGAGGCAGCTGTCGTCGTGGGCCCAGAGCGGACGCTGTGAAAGCACCGACCTCGGCGGCGTCTGCTATGCCCGCTTCGGAGGTTGACCTGAGCGACGAGCAGACGCAGCGAAGGAGATGGCGATGGGCTGATGTCCAGTGTGCGGTCGCTGCGGCAAGAGGGGAGGCATGCTACTGAGATGGCGCGACATTTCTGTTCTCACAGAACCGCAGGTGCACCCTGGCGTCTCGGCAGAGATTGCACTCGCGATGCGGTTGCTGAGGCGGACAGGAGCGGTGCACTACCAACGGTGAAGAATGCTGATGCGGGGCAGCCCCGTGGGTCTCAACACTCTTCCTGCGATTGCTGATTCTGGGCAGACTGGCAGAGATTGCATTCGGCAGATGATCGATGATGCCTGCAGAGATGGGATTCAACGTTTGATTGCTGATGCTGGCAAGGGTACTCAACCGATTGCGATTATTGGCGCTGAGCAGACAGTCCTACTACCAATCGTGAGTACTGAGGTGGATGAAGGTATGTCTACCGAGGCTGTCACAGACAGCTTCTGGCGTGGCATCTGCGAGGTATCAAGTTCGCGAAGCGCGCGCCGCTGGTCCAGTTGGAAAATGAATGAGCCGGGCATGATCCGCCCATCGCCCCGGCTTCTCTCAGCCCTGAGCCTTCTTCCGGGCCTGCCCCCCCCCAACCAAAAAAAAGTTGCCCGGCCTCGTTTCGCCCCATTCTCGAAGCCCAAACCCCGCCCCAAGTCTAGTAAAGAACAGGGGCGAATGTTCAAGTTCCATCATTGCAGGAAGGGGCGGGAGCTGGGCGGAGGAGCGAGGGTGCAGAGTGAGACATTTTCTCAGCGTCCGCGGCCGCAGAGGAGGATTGGCCTCCAGGCGGCGCGGACACGCGCGTGCGAGTTCGAGATGCAGGCCCGTCCTCCGATAATGCTCGGCGGGGGGGGGGGGGGGCTCCCTGGGGGCTTGAAGTAGGACCCCCACTCAGAGCAGTAGTATCGACACCAGGGTGGCATCAGGGATCAGCGCTGCAGGTTGTTTTTGATGCCTGGCTTGGCTCGCCCCCACTTGTGATGCTGAAGGAGCTTGCTTGGCCATGACATACGATCGATTGACACATGGTTATGGTGGTGATGTGTTTGATGATGACGGTGGCGTAGCTCATGATGATTTCGATGATGATGGTCATCATGATGACGACGATGAGGATGGTGATGGTGATGGTTTGTGGTGGTGGTGGTCATGGTGATGCTGACCATACGTGATGGTGATGCGGACGGTGATGATAATGGTTTCTTTGCGGGTGATGATGATTGTGGTGGTGGTGCCGAATGGGATGCCGATGATGACTGTGCTGTTGTTGACGATGGCATGCTGCTGGTGATGATGTTGATGTGATGCTGATGATGGCGGTACTGATGTTGGTATCATGGATGTGATGACAAGTACGAAAACGTCGATGATTTGTTCGGTTCCGAGCTTGATGCTGGTTTCGGTTATGGTGTTGATGCGGTTGAAAATGGTGATGTTTGCGATCATGTTGCATGGCGTTGTAAAAGGTGATAGTGATGATCATGATGGCGTAATCCATGGTTGATGTGACGACGATGCTGTGGATGATGGTGATGATGGCGACGTCGATGCTGTTGCTAATGACGCTGATGAGTCTGCTTTCGAGTATGGTGGTGATGAGAAGAAGGAGGATAACGACGACGACGACCACCACGACGATGATGATGCTGCTGATCGTGGTGTTGGTGGTGCCGCTCATGCTGATGATGATTCGGATGATAACGGTGACGATCATGATGACGATGGAAGTGATTGGGCCGCCTTGGGGCTGTTTCGGCCTCCTGTTGCAGTCTTGGGGGTCCCTTGGGCCCTTTTGGGGTTTTCTTAGCCGTATTGGGGTTCTCTTTGGCTTGTTTGGGGCGCTTTTGGCCGTGCAGTGTGCGTGTGGGGGAACTCGCGGGGCCGTCCGGGCGCCGGTTTGGGCCGTCCAAAGGCCTTCGAGGGCAATGTTTTGTCCCACGGGAGGCCCTTTAGGGCCGTATTGGGAGTGTTGGATGCCCCGTGCGCCATCGTGGAGCCCTCGTGGGCCGTCTGGAGCTGACGGCAGCCCGAAAAGGCGAGAATGAGGAAACGATGCAAAAAACGATGGGCAATCAATGGTTTTGGTATACTAAAATACTGTTAGAGGTTCTTTTGTGGTCTTTTGGGCTTTCTTGGGGGCATCCAGTGCACTCTTGAACCAGTATTCGGCCGCCTTTGGGCCATCTTGGGCCATTTTGAAGGCATCTTGGGCCATTGTGGTGTCTTTGGTTGCCTGCACCAACCGTCTTGGAATCCCGGGACGCAGATCGATTTTTTTATGAAGGATCGCTGCGTGGGATGAGGGCGGGCATGCGTGGCATTAGGTGCCATGCGAGCGGTGCACCGAGCGGGCACGCGTGGAAGGGACGTTCAGGGATTAGTTTCCATGCGGGCAGCGCACCATCTTCGAGCTGGCGCGCGCGGAAGGGGGGGTCAGGCATTAGTTGCCACGCTGGAAGTGTATTATCCTCGAGCGGGCAGGGGGAAACTGGCTCCGGTGAGCAGTGGGGTTGCACGCAGGAGTCCGCTGGTAGAGGGTTGGGCTGTCCTTGATTAGGGTTCAAAAGTTCAACAACACTACCAGACTGACGTTGGCATTCTTCTTCGCCTCGACGTGCCAGGGGGCACGTTGGCGGATTTATAGGGGGAATGAACCACCCTCCATTTTGGTAGTTTTCGTTCATCACTTATTCGAAAGAAGAAAGCATTATATACATACGCTTCCGACGGTCCGCGTGGACTTTTCGGATCGGCGATGGAGCCCCCTGGTGGCCCCTCCGGAGCCGCCCTTGGCGCGCTCCGCGCGCCAAGGAGGGGGTTCCAGCGCTGATTCTAGAATCCGCACGGACTTCCGAAACCTAATGTTTATGCAGATCTGTCTCCCTCCACTCAAAGTGGATCTAGATTTTTGCAAGACGCGCCCTCGATCCGTAAAGTTTCAGCAGCCGCCGTAACGCTCGACGACTGCCCGAGCGAGAACCCCACTGAAGGAACGGCCCAACCCCGTTAGCTGTTGCCCGCTTTCGAGACGCATGTGCGCGGCGCTAGCGCGAGAGCAGCTTTTTTAAATGAGCACCTTCCCTTGTCCGCGCATGTGCTTCGGGTTTTCGACATCGCGCTCGGCGCTGTGACGGGAGCCATGCCGCGAAACTGTTTTCCCCTCCATCCGTGTGGCTGCTGCAGCTTTCCCAGCGCTGTGGCGAGAGGTGTAGTTTGAAAGCGGCCCTCTCTATCCGTGCAGCCGTCGGTACATTCACGCCTCTGGAACACCCCCGTCTTCGGCTCGGACCGCTCCAGTTGCGCGCGCGCGCACGTCGCGGTGGCAGCAGGTCACGAAGGTACTGTACCGATTCCTCTTGGGGGGGCTGCTAGCCCCCGAGAGATAGATTCCATGAAGGCGGTCAGCGTGCTCGCCTGCGCCTTCGTGGGAGTCAGCCTGTCCGCTGCGCTGTCCGTGCATCCGGTGTCGAAGGGCCACCGTGGGATCTCGACGCTCGAGCTGGGGGAAGTGGCGGCAAACGCCTCTGCGGTGGTGGGTACATCCGAGGAGATGATCACCGTTCCCAGCGGCTCCGTGCTCGGTGTGATGTCGCGGCACCTGCTGGTGAGCGCTGAGGCCAGGAAGGAGCCCATCTACGTCGGCGACCCTCCGCCCAAGCACTCCGTCGTGATCACGAGGTCCCAGTACTGGATCCTGGTCGCGTCCTACGTGGCGCTGTGGAGCGCAGCCGTATTCTTGATCGGCTGGCTCTATATCAGGCAGAAGATATGGGCGCCGGTGGACCCCGAGGTGGTGGGTGCCGACCTCAAGAGGTTCTCGTCCGGCCCGTTCAACTGCCTGGACGACATGCATATTTTCCTCTGGACGTTCCTGTGCCCGTGCATTCGCTGGGCCGACAACGTCAGCATGCTGGACCTCCTGGGCTTCTGGCCAGCGCTCGCGGTGATGACACTGGTGATGATCATGTACAGCCTCACGGGCTACGTGATCATTGCGGCACTGTCCGCCATGGTCTGGACGCACTACCGGCAGAGGATGCGGCAGATGTTCGACATGGAGGGCCAGTACGAGTGCGCTTATTATTCGTCCGATTGCCTGCTGTACTTCGCGTGCATGCCCTGCGCCATCGCGCAGGAGTCGGGCCGAACGAAAAGGGGGAATAGGGAAAGGGGGGGCACGAATTAGGGGGCGAAGAGTGGTATAAGATTCAAGGGGCTCAAAGACACAAATAAATGCACACAAACAAAAGGTTTCCCCGATATTTTCCTATATGTTCTGGGTTTTGTCCTCCCGCCCAATTCCCATATTTTCCAATATTCTCTGTGGAATCGACGATTCATTGTGTCTGTGTGTTTCTTTCCCTCCCGAAAGACAAATGTGCCCGCCGTGGGGGACGCCTGCCCCCTGGGCGGCCGCAAAGCTCGGCGCGAACGCGGGCGAACTCGGGCGGCCTCGGAGGCCACTCGGGCCGCCTGGGAGCCAGCTTGGGTCGTCTCGCTACCCGATTGTGCTGAGGCTCAAGCTGGGGCTCAGCCCCTCTCGAGGCTATCTGAGACGTCTTGGGCCGTCTGGGAGGCCACTTGGGCCGCCTTGTGCAATCTTGGCCCGTCTGGATCCCGACGCAGGCCGGGCTCACGCTCGGGTTCGGGCCTCCCGAGGCCATCTTAGTCGTCGTAGGCCGTCTTGGAGCCATCTTGGGCCGTCTTGCTGCCATCTTGGCCGGGCTCTGGCTTGGGCTCGTACCTTCGCGAGGCCATCTTCAGCGTTTGGGGCCGTCTCGGAGGCCTCTTCGGCCGTCCTGGACCCATCTTGGGCCGTCTTGATACCATCTTTGGTGGGGCTCAGGCTCGCGAGGGCCCTCGCGAGGCCGTCTTGGGCGTCTTTTGGCCGTCTTGGAGGCCGCTTGGGCCGTCTTGGTGCCACATTGGGCCGTCTGGGATCCACCTTAGACCGGGCTGAGGTTCGGGCTCAGGCCCTCGCGAAGCCACGTTCGGCGTCTTGGTCCATCTCGGAGGTTTTTTGTTCGGGCCGCCTTCAAACTCACGACTGGTCTGGCGACGCGGGGAACCCCGCGTTGTCGCCGAGAGGCGTCGTGATGCTGGGGAACGGGAGCTCCTCCCTCTTAGAATCATAGCATTGGTCTGCAGATCCGTGGATCCCATTTCGGTGGGTCCATGCTATTGAAATGTATTACATACTCCAGGGAAAGGCTGGGATCCACGAAGCTTCCACTCCACATAATGGGATCCAGACGAGTGCCAAATGGGATCCACGAGACTCTTGCACACACGAAACGGGATCCACTGGGATCCATTGTTCAATGCACGAGAAGAACACGCTCGGCCTAATGGCGAAGGAAACTAGTTGCACACCTTCCGCCCTTCAGCTCAGGGGCGGTGGTGGCACCATACACGCAGCATGCGAGGGTTGTGGAGGGTTGCTCGGGCCAACTGTCTGGGACGGATTCTCGGGTTGGCCGGAACAGAGCCGATTGTGGGAGGGAGGGTGCGACATCCGATAGATGCTCTGCCCGCGCCCGGCTTCGGGTCCGCCGGGCGCCTTCCCCGATGCATTGGCGCCTCTGGCGCCAGGAGGCGCCGAGTTGAATCAGGTACGTGAGTTGACGTGTGAGCGCCGCCTCTCTGCCATCCTCAGGAGGGGAAAAACACAGGCACAATGAATCGTCGATTCCCCAGAACATGTGGAACATATGGGAAGTGGGGGGGAAGACAGAAACATATGGGGAATCCTTTTATTTGTGTGCATTTGTTTGTGTGTCGTCCGCCCCCCCCGTCGTCCGCCCCGACCGACCCAGTGCCGCGCCTGGGGCCTTCGTCGAGCCTGCGTCGGCCCTCGTTGCACCGTCTGTCCTCGTCCTGGAAGGCTTCGGGGGACGAGCACAGGTGCTGGCGCTGCTGCAGCCCGAATCCATGGTGAGAATGGCAACGTAGGGACGAGTCAGAGCTGGATTTGATTACCTCCCCCGCTTTCACTTCGAAGCACAACCAAGTCATACCTCGCACCTCTTGTTTAACAGCGCGCGCACGTCCCCCTGCGGCCGCATCGCGGTGCAAAACCACGGAATTCCAAGATTCTGCCCCAAACGACGTTTGGCATCGTGTCACGGTAAAGTGGCACCGTGCCTGGAATACTTGAGTCCTGTTGGAATGTGCTGAAATCGTGTTGGAACAGTTTGGTACAATACCGGTAACATGTGGTATTGTAGTACCAAACGCGTCTGGCATTCTACACACGTCGCGTCTGTCGGGGGAGCGTAAGACCCGGGTTTGCCAGGACTCGGGTTCGCCATCGTTTTTGTGACGACCGCGCCTCGGAGTTTCGTGGGATATTTGCAGCGGGAGGCCTCGTCAAAATGCAGGCTCGGCCTCGTCATTTGTTTTGACGACCTCGTCGGGGATTTCCGAGTCCCCTGTTTCCAGGTTTTACGCCCCCCTGAGGCTGCATCGTTGTTTTCGGGCAAGGCCGAGAGGCCCTTGGTACTATACTGGGACCCTTTGGTACAGTCGGTGCCCTGGAGAAGGAACCCTTTTCGTTGGGGAGGGGCTCGGTGTTCCTTGATTGTTTCACAGCTTGCCTCAGGTGTTCCTTAGGCTTTCGATGGGAAATCGAAGTTTAACTTATGGGAAAAAAGAGCCTCGTTCCTTATTTAGGGTTCCTTAGGTCAAGGCCCCGACTGTATTCTACCAGGTTTCCCAGTGTTCTACCAAAGCGTCGGCGGCACGGCGTCGAGCGCCGTTTTGGACAACTCGTGGGAGATCGGAGCTCGGCAGTGCGAGGAGGCGGGAGGCGCCCTGGAGTCTGGCGGAGAGCGGCGGGCAAGCGGGTCGCGTGGTGGCGCACGAGGTCACGGCCACGCCCCCCGGCGAGCAAGTTGGTGTTGCTTGGAAGCGGGGGTGGTCAAACGCGAAGTGGGTGTTATGCCTCCCAGTGTATAACCTTGCCGTGCCACGCAGGGGTATCGCGCATCGCCGTTCCAGCCGCCCGGGGGGCAGGCGTCCCCGACGGCGGCAAAGTTGATTGAATCGCTTCGCTCATTCCGCCGGTCCGTCCTGTGCCATCGCAGGCGTTTGCCTGCGCGTTCGTGGCCTCTTGTGGCCTCAGTGGGGCCGTTTGGGGGCCCTTCGGGGCCTCCTCCTGTGGCCCTCGTGGGGCCTCCAGTGGGCCTCCTGGGCTCTCTCGGGAGCTTCGTGGCGCCTCGTGGGGGCCTCTTGGGGCGGAAGGCTCGAATTTGTGGTTCGTGCTCCCCCTCTTGAGCCCCCTCTTGGGGCCGTTTTGGGGCCCTCTTGGACCGTCTTGCGCGGGCCGTTTTGGGGCGGTCTTTGGCCTCTGGGGCCACCTTGGAGCGTTGGAAACCCGCAGACGCAAGATCGCGAGCACCATAGCAAAACACATTGAACATCAATAATGTGTGCTTCTTATGGCCCTCTTTGGGGTTCTCTTGGAGCGCTCTTTGGTATACTTTGAGTCCTCTTGGGCCGTGTTGGGGCGATTTTGGGCGTCTTGGAGCGATCTCGCGGCGTCTCGGAACCCTCTGAGATTATCTTGGCGACCTCTTTGGGGTATCTTGGCGCTTCTTGAAGGCGTCGCCCAGAAGCAGCACCATCTCTGAGGCGGACTCGCCAGGGCCTTGCCGGGGTACTTTCCTGCCAGGGACCTCCAGGGACGCGGCCCCGCTCGCGCGCGAACAAGAAAATTCTGAACCAGTCACCCGAGATTTAGCATTCAGTCGGGCCTGTCCTTCTACAGGAGGAAATTCGAAAATAGTAAGACAAACGTTTGGCGACGATGCTTTGATGTTTCTTGTTTTTCCCTACCTAGGCTCTGCCTAGAAGGGTTCTTACTCTCTTAGCTTAAAGGGGCCGGGCAATGGAAAGCGCCCCGGGCGGTTCCCCCGGTCCCCGCCCCGCGGTTCCCCCAGTCCCCTGGGAGTTTTAGCTTTTAGCTTTAGCTTTAACTTTAGTTGTAGCTTTAGCTTTAGCTTAGCTTTAGCTTAGCTTTAGCTTAGCTTTAGCTTAGCTTTAGCTTAGCTTTAGCTTAGCTTTAGCTTTAGCTTTAGCTTAGCGTAAGCTTATGTTCAGCTTAGTTGTAGCTTATGTGTAGCTTAGCTTTAGCTTAGCGTTAGCTTAGCTTTAGCTTAGCTTTATCTTAGCTTTAGAGCTTAGATTTAGCTTAACTTTAGCTTAGCTTTAGCTTAGCTTTAGTTTAGCTTTAGCTTAGCTTTAGCTTAGCTGCAGCTTAGCTGCAGCTTAGCTGCAGCTTAGCTTTAGCTTAGCTTTAGCTTAGCTTTACTGTTGCTACTACTGCTTCTTTCCTAGGGGCTCCAACTCCTAGGTAGGGTCGCACTGGGATAATTAATGTGTGTTTTCACTTTTGTTGAATACTAGTTGACTATTTCCCAACCATCCTGTGGTGTTGGGTCCTCGTTTTGAAGAGACGGTGCCCCGCGTTCTCCTTCCTTCCTTCCTCCCGCTGCCTCCTCCCCCCTCCCATCATCATCATCATCATCAACACCAATTTCGGCACACCCCTCACACGTTTCGTGGCTCCATAGGGAGCTCCACCGAAGGCCCCAGTGCCCGCGGCCGCATGCGTCCCCCACACCCATTTCGGCACACCCCTCACACGTTTCGTGGCTCCATAGGGAGCTCCACCGAAGGCCCCAGTGCCCGCGGCCGCATGCGTCCCCCACACCCACTTCGGCACACCCCTCACACGTTTCGTGGCTCCATAGGGAGCTCCACCGAAGGCCCCAGTGCCCGCGGCCGCATGCGTCCCCCACACCCATTTCGGCACACCCCTCACACGTTTCGTGGCTCCATAGGGAGCTCCACCGAAGGCCCCAGTGCCCGCGGCCGCATGCGTCCCCCACACCCATTTCGGCACACCCCTCACACGTTTCGTGGCTCCATAGGGAGCTCCACCGAAGGCCCCAGTGCCCGCGGCCGCATGCGTCCCCACACCCATTTCGGCACACCCCTCACACGTTTCGTGGCTCCATAGGGAGCTCCACCGAAGGCCCCAGTGCCCGCGGCCGCATGCGTCCCCACACCCATTTCGGCACACCCCTCACACGTTTCGTGGCTCCATAGGGAGCTCCACCGAAGGCCCCAGTGCCCGCGGCCGCATGCGTCCCCCACACCCATTTCGGCACACCCCTCACACGTTTCGTGGCTCCATAGGGAGCTCCACCGAAGGCCCCAGTGCCCGCGGCCGCATGCGTCCCCCACACCCATTTCGGCACACCCCTCACACGTTTCGTGGCTCCATAGGGAGCTCCACCGAAGGCCCCAGTGCCCGCGGCCGCATGCGTCCCCCACACCCATTTCGGCACACCCCTCACACGTTTCGTGGCTCCATAGGGAGCTCCACCGAAGGCCCCAGTGCCCGCGGCCGCATGCGTCCCCCACACCCATTTCGGCACACCCCTCACACGTTTCGTGGCTCCATAGGGAGCTCCACCGAAGGCCCCAGTGCCCGCGGCCGCATGCGTCCCCACACCCATTTCGGCACACCCCTCACACGCTTTCGTGGCTCCATAGGGAGCTCCACCGAAGGCCTCAGTGCCGCCGCCCGCATGCGTCACCCCCACCCATTTCGGCACACCCCCCGCATTTCTCGCACGGCAGGGTCATCACCACGGTGGCGTGCCAGGGGCGCACCATGCGCGAAGGCGACGGGGCGGGGGAACGGCGCTCCGGGGGCGGCCAGACCTCCGGGGCGCGAGCAGTCCGCGGCCAGACCATCTCTCGGTCCTGTGGACTCTCGCCCTGGGCCGTCGGCTGCCCGGCGCGCTGCTCCCTCGGTCGACGTCGCCCAGGCGTGATCCTGGATTGCGGCCGCCACGAGGTAGGGAACGGCAAGAAGGAGGACGACGACTGGTGGCTGGAGCTCTACGTGCTGCTCTCGCGCGCCACGCGCCACGAGGACCTCCTGCTCATGCGGGCGCCGCGCATCGAGTTCTTCCTGGCAGGGCCGCCGCAGGGCTTGCGGAAGCAGCTGGAGCAGTTTGCGGCGCGCACGAAGCGGTGCAGGAGGGAAGCGACGGCCCTCGCCAGGGAGCTCGGCTTCACCGAGTTCATCCGCGAGGCCTGACCTGAGGAGCGTCTCCCCCGAGCCGCGCCTTCTCTCGACTGCCCGACTAATTGTTTGGCCTCGCGCCGCGGACGACCCGCGCGCGTCGCTGGGACCCTCTCGGGGCGACCAGCGCGCGTCGCGGGAACTCCGTGCTGCGGGGGGCCCGGCGCCTCGTTCGCCCGTCGTCGCTCTGCCCAGCGGTCAGAGACTTGCCCGCTATCAGCCAGCCAGTTAGCTAGTCAGCTCTCTCTGCTTCGCGCAGCGGACGACCCGCGCGCGTCGCTGGGACCCCGCCCGGGGCGACCAGCGCGCGTCGCGGGGACCCCGCGCTGCGCTGCGCCCGCAGCCTTGGATTTTGGAGTGCGCGGGCAAAGAGGAAGGAAAAGAAGAGCCGAAAGCGGGCGCGATCCTCGCAAGAGGCGTGCCGACATGGGCGTCGCGACGTGCGGACGCTGCCGTCGGGGTTCCCGCGGAAGCTGCCTGCGGCGGCCACGCCCAGTGTCACGTGTGTTCGGACAGGCATGCTCGACACTTACACTAGGCGGTTCCATGATCGCACTCATGCAAATATATTCACTCGCGCGCAGACCCATTCATACTCAGATTCCCTCGCGCTCTGACTCACCCGCGTTCTTCGGGCCGGACGAAAGGGGGGGATTGGGAAAAGGGGGGGTTACGAAATTTGCTGCATGCAGCTGGTTTCGGCCTCGCCGAGGGGCCCATTCCTTGATACATAGCCGCCTCCGGCGCCGGGAGGCGCTGGGAAAATCAGCTGCGCGAGCTGATTATCAAACCCCCCCTTTGCTATCCCCCCTTTCGCCCGACCCGAGTTCTTTCTCTCGTAATCAGATCTATCGTATCCCTTTGCGTTGTGTACCCCGCCACATTTCGGCACACCCCTCATGCGGTTCGTGGCCCCATAGGGAGCGCCGCCGAAGAAGATATTCACAATTGCGATACTCACAACTGCATATGGTTGGGTCCTTCGCCAGGATAATTTTGATTTGTCGTCCGAAATCCGGCTGCAGGGGGACATGCCCGACCTACTTTAAGCACCTGTCTAGCCCGTTGGGCCCGCGAATGTTACGTATGCATTCGCACGCCAAACGAGATCTGGAGGGTTTCTCCGAAGGGCTTAGGCGACCCGTCCTCCACCTCCTCCTCCCCCTCCTCCTCCTCCTCCTCCACTTCCTCCTCCTCCTCCTCCTCCTCCTCCTGACCCCCCCCTTCCTCCTCCCCCTAATCCCCCTCCTCCTCCTGCTCATCCTCCTCCTCCTCCCCACTCCTCCTCCATATCCTCTTTCCCTCCCCCCCCACCTCCTCCTCCTCGTCCTCCTCCTCCTCCTTCTCCTCCTTCTCCTCGGATCGCCTACCGCCGTGGGGGGGAACGTGCAACGAGATCTGTTGCATGCAGCCGGTTCGGCCCCGCCGCCGGGCCCATCCCTCGATGCACGGGCGCCTCCCGGCGCCAGGAGACGCCAGGAGAACCAGCTGCGTGAGCTGATTCGCTGCCCCGCCCTTTGCCACCCTGCCCCTTCGCTCCCCATCCTCCTCCCTCCTCCTCCTCCTCCTCCTCCTCCTCCTCCTCCTCCTCGTCCTCGTCCTCGTCCTCGTCCTCGTCCTCGTCCTCGTCCTCCTACTCCTACTCCTAATCCGTCGAGGCGCGCCACCTCGAGCTGGCCGCGCGCGCAGGACACGAGGCCGTGGAGAAGCAGCGGCCGGCAGACGCGTAGACATGGGCGTCGGAGGTTGCGACATTTTGGGGCGAGAAAATGGGGGGAGGAGGATGAGGGGGGAGGAGGATGATGATGAGGAGGAGGAGGAGGAGGAGGAGGAGGAGGAGGAGGAGGAGGAGGAGGAGGAGGAGGAGGAGGAGGAGGAGGAGGAGGCGGGGGGGAGGAGGAGGAGGAGGAGGAGGAGGAGGAGGAGGAGGAGGAGGAGGAGGAGGAGGAGGAGGAGGAGGAGGTCGTTGGTGGTGGT